ACACGGCCATATTTGTTAGAAGGTAATGAGCCTAAAAAAAAAACGCACGACGCAACTCAAACTATTATAGTATCGGTGACTGATGTGGATAGAAAACTAGCAATTGATAGTAAATCATAAACAAATGTTGTTTGTAGTAGATATATGTCAGTGAGACACAGAAAAACGCGAAAATAATTAAAATTAAAATTAAACAAAAAAAAATGACGGATTTTTAAAAAGGGGAGGGTAAAAAACACAAATTGTCTTGTCCCCAAGTACCTAAGCGTTTTTGTTGGTTAATAAAAATTTGACCTTGACCATGACCGTGTTATCTTTATGTAACATGGCCGTTTGACTTCAGGTTAATAACTTTAGTTGACCCATAGATGTATAAACCCATACATCTATGGTTGACCACATCACTATTAGAATGAGCAAATAATATACTTTTATGATCTAGTAAAATTTACCAGCTCTCTTTCCTATAGCACAATGAAACAAAACTGGACCGTCTCGTCCTATTTCTAGCAGCTTGTCCTTGTACTGTTGAAATACATCTGCACTGTATGTAATATTTAAATCTGAAATATAATTTCATCTTAATTTTAAATATGCAAATATAGTTTATGGAAAACTAATAATTCGTGAATCCTGGAGCACATTTAGGAAAATTACATACCATTGCTAATGCTTTAGCCGTTAAGTGGAAGAAGTTATAAATAAAGTTGATTTCAAAATGAAAGAATTAAAGCTTGACAAATAGAGCTTGAAGAAATTTTATGTCGCAAACATGTAAAAAGTTGTAAATATGGTTATAACAAGATACTTGGATATAACTTCAGGTGAAATTTTACCTAAATTTCGTACTTGACTTTCATTTCACCTTATTGCAAAGCGCATACATTCAATAAAATGCTCCGCTGGGCGCAGCTTGATACGACCGCAGAGGTCGAACCCTGAACAGTTGGGCAAGTATGGACACAACATTCAAGCTTGATACAGCTCTGAATTTGGATTGTGATTAAATATTTGACACAGCATAGGTTTCTGACACATAATGAATGTGGTCTAAGAACTTAAAAATTTTTAATTTACCTATTCAAACCATATCATTATTATTTGCTTTTATATATAAATCAGAAATAACCAATTTAAAATGGAAAATTTTAAAGAAAAAAAAATCCCCCCCCCCAAATTTTTTGAACCCCCTTATGATTCATCAACCCCAAACTAAATCCCAGCCTTCCCTTTGTGGTATGGTACCTTGCAGTACAATTTCAGAGAGATCCATACACTTGAACACAAGTTATTGTCTGGAAACTAGAAAAATGCTTGTTTTTTGGCCCCAAATTCCTAAACACTTAGGGCAATTACCCCCAAACTCAAACCCAGCTTTCCCTTTGTGATATGGAACCTTTGCCACTGGACGTTAAGCAACCAACAATCAATCGATCAATCAATCAATCAATGGAACCTTGTAGTACAATTTCATAAATATCCATACACTTACACACAAGTCATTGTCATGAAACTAGAAAAATGCTTGTTTTTTGCCCCATTTTGGGCCCCTAATTCCTAAAATTTTGAGCATATGGCAAAATCAAAGTAAATCATTTGCACCACGTGACTTTGTCCCTTTTGATCAAATTACTTCCCTAAGCTTAAGATTGAAAATATAATTTATAATAGATTTGCGGATAATCCAGTCCTTTTCCGTCATGTATCTAAAACTAATGTATCTTTAAAAACTTCCTTTGGCGGATATTTACAAAAATGCTGTGTAATTCTAAGGGAAAATGCTTAAAATTTGACTTTTTACGAAATGGGAAGGTTGAAATCATCATGTTTTTAAAAGAATTTGGCCGAAAACTTAAGAAAGCAGGTAAGTTAAAAGTTATTTAACTTTAAAATTCAACCTACAAGGTGTTTCCCTATATGCGAACAAATCATGAACAATATCTTCCATCATGTGTATTTCTGTTTTGAATCTTGCTATTTTACGATTTTAAGTCATTTTATTTGATCTTATATAGCAATTACACAATGGTTACGCTTCCGATTTTTAAACTAAAAAGGCCGAAAGATTTCAGAGTAGACAATGTCCATTTGTACACGGACAGAAGCCAAAAAAACATGTACAATTCACCTATATGCGAACAAATTTTTCATTCGACATAGGTATTTGCATATTGGCATTTTTATTAAAAGGGCTTATATAATCCTATTGTAATGGCTGCCGTCATGATAAGGCAAAATGGCCGCTATGCAAATTAGCAAATTACCCCAAATTTTGCCATATGGGCAATTACCCCCAAAATCAATCCCAGCATTCCCTTTGTGATATGGAACCTTGTGGTACAATGTCAGAGAGATCCATACACTAACACACAAGTTATGTCTGGAAGTTACAAAAATGCTTATTTTGGACCCTTATTCCTTAACTGTTGGTACCATAACCCCCAAAATCAATCCCAACCTTCCTTTTGTGGTATTGAACCTTATGGTAAAATTTCATAGAGATCCATTCACTTAAACTAAAGTTAGAGTGCGAAAACCAATGTGTCTTCGGACGACGACGACGACGACGCCAACGTCATACCAATATACGACCACAAAATTTTTTTGCGGTCGTATAAAAACCTTTTTTCATCGTCTGTCATTTTTTCTACAATATTCACTCTAAATGATATTATTAGAAAGTCTTAAGATTACAAAGTAAACTTACCTACAGGTAAATGATAATACTTCAATGATGATTCATTAAAATGTTCGCTTTCAATTTCTTCATTAAAGCCAATTTCGTCACCATACTCCTCGGCGTTCTGGGTTTCATAATTAACCATTGATGAAGGAGATATATGTTTTCTGTCCAAGGCTGGATCTAAGACCACTTTCTCCAAGGTCGATTGTGTTTGTCGCACAGGGTTATAGTTCTCGTCATAAGTATTGACGTTGTCTGGTATGTTGATGAGATTTACAGTCTCTTGTGAAGGATTGCTGTCCATAGTTTTACCCATCCGCATGTTGATGACTGATTTATATCCATGAGCTTCCAGTTCCTTTAAATGACCCCTTCTTATCTGACCGGCAGTGAACCAATTCTTATAGACAGGATGACCAAGCCAATAACCCAACCAATTTTGATATGCATCACATTTTGGGGGATTGCTAACGATTGGCTCACCTGTTATTTCTGCAACAACCGATTTCAATTTGTCTGCTGTGAAATCCATTCCCATTAGAGCACTCATTTTATAGAATTTCTCACTATTAACTCTTGGTTCGTATTTAGAGTCCAGTTTTGACATGTATGCTGTATGCAATAAGGTTGTAAAAGCTACAGCTTGTGGTTGGCTGCCATAGAGCAAAATTGGCTTCTCCATTTCAATAATTGAGTGAGTTAGTTTCTCCACTGCTTTAACACAAGCCCAGTCTTCGTTCTCTTTCAGAATGGCATCAAACTGAAGACCGGAAATTTTTGCAGCATATTTGGCTTCTGATACAGATGCTAGTTGTTCACCCCCAAACTGACCAGGGTTGTTTTCATGGTATAGAGATATAACGCCGTTAAATCCTCCATCATGTGCGTATTTTATTTGCGTGTCTGTTAATCCTCCAGCAACATACAGTTTTGGTGTCACTTCTTTTGCCCACCATAATTTTTTTGATGATTTGAATCCAGGAACACTTCTCGGAGACAAAGTATCAAGGCGAAGATCAACACTTCCTGTCGACATAGAGCGAAAAAACAAAAGTCCATACTGAACAACTGTTGTAGTCCTCTTTGGTATTCGAACAATCATATTGCTGGTTAATTGCGCACTACACGACCTACATAACCTGTACAGCTTTGATAACGTAGATTTATTTTTTTATGGCATGCGGAGGCAGTCATAAATCAAATCGATATATAAACGACTTCGTCTGCTATATTGAAGTGATTTTTTCGGATAAGTGGGAAGTCATATGTCCTAACTACACAATAATTTTGGCCAACTAAATTAGACTCAACTCAAATATGCATTTTGCCGTGTAGACAGACTGGAGCCAGCATTTAATCAAATTTGTAATTCAATACAATACAATAATCTCATATACATATGCAAACATCATAAGATAAGGTATTTAAGATAAGATATTTTTATTTCCAATTATGGGACCCAAAGGGCATAAACATTACAACATCAATATTTTTTCATAATACAATACAAACAATGAGATAAAAAAAAAAGTAACACAGTAATAGTATCTATACTAAGTAATTTAACACATAACTTTGTGAACCAAAAAATATACTTCCGGCAACAATAGTAATATATATCTATTAACTTTCAAGAACATTCCAAATGTTAAATATCATATTATGAATACCCGTCATAAACGGACACTCGCCGCCCAGGAAAAACCAACTTATATAGTTTGGAAACCTGCGTCACGGAGCAATGCAAGAACCGTTTCTGGGTAATGATGCCGTACTTGATCATGATCATGATTATATAAAAAAACAATTTTTTATACAAAAAAGGAAGTTTTAACTGTACGATGTCTACGGCTAGAATGACCACCTAGACAATTTTTTTTTCACGAACCCGCGAAAAACAAATTAGCATAACAAAACATTAGGTCACCTGACCTATCAAATCATACATCATTGACCCATACAAAATATTATAGAAACTTTAAGACAGTATTTTTCCGCTATACTGCGAAACGCTGAAAAATATATGTCCTAACTACACAATAATTTTGGCCAACTAAATTAGACTCAACTCAAATATGCATTTTGCCGTGCAGACAGACTAGAAAAACAAAGAACGGGCGTGAGAAATGCAATATGAATACAATGCAAGATACTAATCAAATCATGAATCATAATAAAAAATAAAATTCAAACCCTAAACATTCACAAGCCAAGTTTTTTCGTAACCTGAAGCCGATGATCAAGTGAATTAGCCACGTAACCATCTTTAGCAGTGTCGCTTTTCCACCGACCGCGTGTCGTTTCCAACAACGTTCGTTTACATCTGAATTGGCGGCTGCAGTAGCCCACCTGCTCTCAAAGAATGCAAACTAATGTTTAAATCAGGACAAATACTTTTTAACCTAGAAACTATACATTCTCTAGCTCTGGTATAGCTTAACCGTTTATTTTTATATATTAATGAACAAACTTGTTTTGATCTGAAAATTGGTCTAAATAAAAAATTATCTGATTCAGAATTAATCATAGCTAATTGAAAATACTTTTTCAATAATAAATATGGACAGGCAATTGACTCTCCTTTACAAATGACAATTTCGTCACCTAATCTATATTGATCAGTTTTACTCTTAAATATCTTGATTGAAAAATTATCATCTTTGAAAACTATATCCTTACAACGAATTGCGCTTACTTCATCATAACGAAGAAAACCAGCAAAACATAAAATTATCATAGTTAAATCCCGTATAACAAGTAAATCATTACAGTCTTTGTACTTAGAACATAAATTTATCAAAACATCTACGGTAATGTGATCTTTTTTCACTTTCGGTCTGTGAGGTTGTCGTTTTGCAGCTTCCATTAAATTCACAACGAAAGAATTTGTTGTCGGATCTTGAATTCCTTGAATGTTATGCGCCCACTTGATCCCGTAAACGGCAGATTGCACTACACTTTTAGACGAGCCTTTATCCAGTAAATGAGTTAAGTATAACGCAACGTGAATTGGAGAAGCGGGAATAGATTTTCCTCCTTCTTTAGATATAAACTGTTCACAACGTTTAAAAGAATAAAAATATTTACTATTGGTGTTGCTGCTATGTGAATGTAACAAAAATTCTTCAATTTTCCCACCAAGTTGAGTGAAATTTTCTGAAATCGCTCCACACTGTGAAATCTCTTTCTGAATGGTACATTTTAACCCGATCCCTAAAAAACAAATAAAATAAAAAATATCTAAAATCTAATTTTAAGTGCCAACAAAGTGAAATTTGTATCTGTCTTTCCGAATAATCCGTTCCTTCCTCTTCCTCTCATAACTACATTTGATGACAATAATCTGCTGTCTCCTATACAAAACTCGCAAATTTTTGCGAACCTTCAATACCAACGTTTAAAATTGGCCAAAAAGGGGCTGACCTCCAGTATGGAACAATTAGTGTACCGATAGATTTTTCTTGTTTCATTTTTTGAATACATTTGGAAACAAGTGACGGTGGTGGTACAATCCAATTAATTTCGCTTTTCCAATCTTGATCGAAAGCATTAATACCTGAAGTATAAGGACACCAGTGCTTAGAGTTGAAGACCAGACATTTTGTATTATAATCTGACGCAAATCGATCTACCGTATGAGGACCCCACAAATTATCTAGAACTGAATACACTTCTGGGTCTATTCCCCAGTCATCACAGTCTACACTTTTACTGATCTGATCAGCCTTAACGTTTTCGTCTCTTGGTACCCAGTGTGGTAACAATACAATATTGTTAAGCTTACATACATTGGCTATCTTGATAGCGATTAATTGTAGATCGCCTTTTCTACTACCTTGCTTAATAATGTAAACAATATTTTGATTATCAGTATACCATTTAATAGTTTCACCTTGTAATGTTACTAGTAATGACAACAACACTCTATATACAGCTTCTAACTCTCTCCATGTGGAGCTTTTCAAACTTTCTACAGAGTTCCAACTACCCATAACTTCAGTGTCACTGATACTGACAGCATACCCTCCGAAATCTATACCGGAGGCATCACTGTAAACAATGCTAGAGTACTGTTCCACTATACTCAAATCTCTGCCATTCAGTATGGCTACGTTTTCCTTCCAGAAAACAATTTCATCTAATGCTTTGCTATTCAAACGCACATGAGCGTTCCAACTTGCTCTATACAATAAGCAATCGTACATACTCCTTGTACGCAACCGTACTACTGGGCCCATTGCCCCTTGCATAGAAATAATCTGTCCAATAATGGACGCCAAAAACATGGCTGTTACTTTTATTTCACCTTTTCCCAACCTGTGAATAATCACATTCAGCGTATCTTTCAACTTATTCAATCTAGTTTCTGTAACATAAACAATACCATTTTTCATGTCCCACACCAAACCTAGCCAAGTAACTGATTGACTTGGTTCCCAACTACACTTTTCTTCGGCAATTAAAAAACCAGCCGATCTTAAAGATAACGTACAGTTAAGCTACAGAAATTAGCCTTACTAATTTCACTTGCCCCACCTATGCCATCATCAAGATACATTATAATCTATAATCCTTGATCTCTTAGATATTTTACAATGCATCTAACAACCTTAGTAAATATGTATCCTGCTGTACTTATACCGAAAGGTAATACGTTAAAAACGTAGTGTTTTGTTACTTTTTCATGTTCATGAAACCAACTGAAACCTAAGTACGTTTTGTGATCTTCGAATATTTCAATATGATGATATGCTGAGCGAAGATCGTATGTAAATAGATAGTCCCCCTTTTCGAACATATGACTAGCTTCAACAGCATCTTCATATTTGAACCTAAATTTGTGTAAGTGGGGGTTTATATGCCTGCAGTCAAGAACAAGTCTGAATTTTTCTTTATTCCTCGCAACTATGAGAGGATTAACTACTTTAGGTAACTCGTGTACTTGAGATATACAACCCCGACTAATTAACTTAGTGATCTCGGATTCAACAAACTCTGAATTATCAAATGCTGTCTTATTGTTCCTTAAACTACAGCTTTCAGGTTCTGTATAAAACGGAATTCTGTAACCATCTCTAATAATACTTAGAATATAGTCGTTCGCATTTATACTTTGCCAATAAGTGAATGCGTTGCGTAACCTGTTTACCGGTGAATCGTTAGAGTTCACCTTTGTAACTGTACTTTTAAATGTGTTATCAAGCTTGACGAATTGTGAATGCGTCTCTTTTGCAATTGTGCTTTTGTCAAAACTATCAAAGTTTTCTACAGTTTTATCAAAACTATTTACATTTTTACTTATCTTGTCATTCTTGTTTCTTTGCATTGCTGCACCAAAAGCACCAGTTTGATGGTCGACCCTCCAGTGTCCGGGAATACCACATTCATAACATTTCCCTGGGCGTTGAACTGGAACATTATTTCTAGGTGCGTTGGAATTAAATCTCGACGATTGAGAGGTACTGTAAGGGGTTGATCTATGCTGTTTACTTTGTTTCTCGTTCTTGATTTTCCGTGCAGCTTTGTTTTCGGCTCTGATGATTCGTTTTTCATCTTCAGAGTCGTCGGCCAGACTATGAGTTTCATATTCTGTCACTGTTTTCCAGCCACTCTCGGATTGGTCTGCCAATTTAACTAATTTTTGTCTATGACGTAATATATCCAAACCTTCACTGATACTTTGTGCTGCCTTTTGGGTCTGTTCGGTTTGCTCCGGGTCTTCCCTCAGAAAACATCTAGCTTCCTTCATCTTGTTGGCAACTTTGGAATTAACTTTAAATTGTTCTTCATTCCCCTTTCTCTTGGACACGTAATTGTCCGAATTCATCTCTTCAATCTTGGCAAGTTGTGTTTCTGACAATTGTCGTTGATTTTCGTTCGTCGACTTTTGGAACGCGTCAAAACTGCTTTTGATAATCCTGTCCATGTGATGTACGATATCATTCTGTGCGATTGAAACAGCTTCTTGCACACGTTGTTTTATCAAAGAATCTAGCTGTACCGGCTCCGACATTTTAACTGTACGATGTCTACGGCTAGAATGACCACCTAGACAATTTATTTTTCACGAACCCGCGAAAAACAAATTAGCATAACAAAACATTAGGTCACCTGACCTATCAAATCATACATCATTGACCCATACAAAATATTATAGAAACTTTAAGACAGTATTTTTCCGCTATATTGCGAAACGCTGAAAAATATATGTATTGCACATGAAATACTAGTACTTGCTATGAGCAGTCATTAATAAATAATAATTTTACTTGCAAAATACACCCATCTGGGTCAAGCAAACACAAATACAAACATATCTAATACAGATAGTGAAGAATTACAAATATAATAATGTTTATCGGTTTACTGATAATACAGGTTTAATAAAAGTTATAATTCCGTATTTATTCTCGAGTCCCCCCTTTTATCTTTGCATTCTGAACTTTGACCGTGTCTGTCACGTGACTTTAGCGTATTGTAACGTCACTTCCAAATTTTCTAACGTTTGAACGGGAAGCTTGTTCAATTTGTTTTGTAAAATCCAGTTCCATCCTCAACACAGATGAAACCTCAGAAAAGGCTACTTCTAAGCGTAAAAGACCTAAAAGTCATGTGCATTCTGATCCAGAAAGACCCATGGCTCCTCGTGGGAATCAGAACATTATTGCGGCGGGTAGTCATTCAACTCAAGTTATGGTAAATGAAAGCGGAGACGAAATTATTGCCTCCAACCAAAACCATAGTGACCGTGCGGAGTTAAACCCTGTGACAGTAGCCATTCCTGGACCGTCGTCTTCGAGAGTTCTGATGTCGAGTACAGAGTCTCTTCGACCAGAATCACACGATGTCGCCACAACAATCCACAGAAGAGCAGCCGATAATGATTCTAGTATAGTTTCCCAAGTCGAGATGGTCCTATCGATTCAGGATAGTCATGGTATGTATACACATACAGGGGACCAAAATGCACCCCCCTTTTATCATAGTAGGAGGTCCCAGTCGCAAATTACAGGCTCGCATTTGGCCAGTAATGAAATTTTCCGAGTTAATCACATTCCGGAAACCATTCCTAGCATATTTGATCCGATTGGGGCTCATATTCCATTAAAGATTAAGGAAAAAAATTGGCGGGGTGAGTTTATTCATTTAGGTTTATTGCTAAAATCTGCAGCAGATTTGGGCTCTGATTCTACTTTAGATGGCGATTTTGTTTTGAAAGGAGGTGCCCTGACTGTGGTTAATAAGAAGCCAGATTCTTTAAAAAATATAGAAATTTGGACTTCGGCCTTTATGATCTATATGGCAATTCTATTAGAAAAATGGCCTATGAAAGCCCAAGAGTATTTGAAATATATGCAAAGCATTCGATTAGCGTCGTCTAGGGGTACTAATAATGGTTGTGCCGTGTACGATGATCAGTACCGACTAAAAAAAGAGCGCTTTCCATCATCTTCCTGGGGTGTCATTGGTCAGGAATTGTGGGTTTTGTTCGTGGTGACGGGGAATGTCAGTCAGTCATCGTCTGTAGTCATGAGCAATAATTCTCATTCCTCCTCGAATTATCAATCTCGTCAGGTTTCGGATATTAATCCTAGTAGAACTCAAGGGAGGACTCCTCATAACCAGAGTAATTTTCGTGGCTACAGTGGAGCCGGTTTTCAATCTCGCCAAAAATGTCGGAATTTCAACCAAGGCCGTTGTACGTTTGGAAGAAAATGCAAATTTGATCACAAATGCTCAAAATGTAATGGGACACACCCAGTTACAAGTTGTAGAACTTAAAAAGGTTAAACGGAGTGACTTGTCAGATTTATATAAATTAGGAAATTCCCCTATCAATGTTTGTGAAGTCGAAAAATGTTTGTTGGATTATCCGGAAATAACTGCTGCCGCCGAATTGATTCAGGGATTACGTTTTGGCTTTAAACTGATGTACGCTGGGCCTAGATTTTCTTTTACTTGTAAAAATTCTAAAAGTGTTTTAAAGAATACAGAGACCACTAGGAAGAAGTTGAATAAAGAAATTGAGCTCGGGCGTATTGCAGGTCCATTTTCACATCCACCTTTTCCTACATTTCGCTGTTCCCCCCTTGCTCTCATTCCTGAAACAACCGTAGGAGAATTTCGCTTAGTGTTGAATCTTTCATCCCCTACTGGTAATTCTGTTAATGATTTTATTGATCGAGAATTTTGTTCTGTGCGTTATGCGAGTATTGATGATGCGGTCGAGATGATTCAAAAATTAGGAAAAACACACGTTTTGTTGGCAAAAGCCGACGTAAAGTGCGCCTTCAGATTGTTGAGAATTTGGCCAGGTGATTTCGATCAGTTGGGTTTTGAATTTGATGATGAGTTTTATTATGACCGTAATTTGCCTCTCGGGGCAGGTCTCAGTTGTTCCTTATTCGAAAAATTGTCCACGGCTTTGCATTGGTATACGGTATTCTAAGAATATTCTGCATTATTTAGATGATTTTTTGTTCGCCGGAGAAGCAGGCACGAACCAGTGTGCCAATTTATTGAAAACATTTACTAATGTATGCCAGAAATGGGGGGTCCCTTTAGCAGAAGATAAAACAGTTTTACCAGTTGAAATTTTAACATTTTTGGGCATAGAATTTGATACTATCGCCATGGAGCTCCGGCTTCCGAAAGTTAAGTTAATCGAGATAAAGCAACGGATTACTGTTATACTTGGTTGTAAAAAAGTAAAGTTGCGTGAACTTCAGTCACTTATTGGGTTATTGAACTTTGCTTGTCAGGTCGTTGTTCCAGGCAGGGCATTTTGTCGTCGGTTTATTGATGCAACTTGCAACGTAAAGGAAGCTTGGCATAGAATTCGCGTCTCGTCTGAGATGAAAGATGATTTGCAAATTTGGTTATCCTTTTTAAATGAGTATAACGGTGTTTCTGTAATGCTAGACTTGCTTTGGACATCAAACGAGACAATCCAGCTATACACTGATAGCGCCGGAGGTTCAAATAGGGGGTT